ATGTGTAAATGCGCACTGTTAGACAGTTCATTGCACAAGAGTGCGCATTTGAACGCTTATGAGTACGCATTACATTTTATGAAAAAATATTTGTCTCTAAGGTGAAAATAAATGGGAATAAGTGACTACAGACTACACATAAAACGGGAGACCTATTTCTTCGTACTCTAGGGGTCTTGAAAAGACGAGAAAACGTAAAAATAGAGAGTCGGTCGACGGACTCGATTACAACACGCTCAGGAAGTAAAAATAAAAAAAAAATCACCATAACCACCACCCCACAACTCGAGAAGCAGTACAAAGTAGTAGAGTTAAATAATTCATTACCGTATGATATGTATCTCCAAGACTATTAGACTACGTATTGCAAGCAATGCGCACGCTTATACAATACCTCGCTGCGCACTCTTGTACATTTGTACACAACCTAATGTTTTCAAAGTTAAAAGCTTTTGATGGACAGAAAGTGTAAAACTGTTAGTGTATAACGACACCTTAAAAGTTACAACTAATGAAAATTATTACTGTAAAATAAAAGAACTGGTACGTACCTTACAAAAAACTAAAACTATGAGCGGTAAAAATTACATCCACACAACGTGTGAACATAAAATCGTCAGTACGACCAAACTATAAACTATATTCAGGTCACTTTTGCACCTTTATCTCAGGTTTAACATTAAATTCTGAATGGTATAACTTCATCTTACCCAGATGGCACTAATAAGCAGAAATCATCAGTGCGTACTCTTATACATATGCGCACTCTTGTACACATTTACCCTAAGTCTTATGGAGTAATTTGATTCAAAATAGTATTAGCTGGATGTCGATAAATAACTACTTCATGAAAATGCGCATTGATTTTTGTCACCTTGTCGAATACATGAATACTAAATGTACCGTCAAACTGAAATTACATGACGAGTACGATTTATAACAAGTATCACCATAAACATACATAGTAGATCGAAAAATGTTAAACCACCAGTTTATGCCTCACCCTTTCAAGTTAATACTGTTAGTTATTATTTTCAAGTTCGTTTTTGATTTTAGTTTAACACATGCTCAATTTATTTACCCCTTTTGTAGTCCATTTCTTTAAGTTGTACTGCTGTCATTATTATGTTTCATTTTACAATTTTCATTTATTTATGTAAATTCCAGCTTCTCGAAATTCCAAGACTCACTGGAATTTTTTTTTTTGGAGCATATATGTGTATTTACAAAGCTTTTAGTAACGTTTCCTGAAGAAAGAGCAGAGGGTCTAGATCTGGAGTAGACATTAAATGCTTCTTTACACTAGCATTGTAAATGTAGATTTAACTAAAGGCAATTAACCATTTTAACAAGACGGGAGTTTAGTTATTCCCAGCCGCATCTGCTTCAGACGCAAGTCGTTGCTGCCATAATTATTTACTTAAATGTCAAATTATTAACTTTCAAAGTAGCAATCTGTTTATCATTAATGTAAGCACATTTTAATATAAATTAGTGTTAGCGGATCTTTGGCAAAAGCCAAGTTTAGGTTCTCGTACAGCGTTCATTATAAATTCTCCATCCTTGGAGGTGAAAAAAATTTCCGTCTGTGAATTTTTATTCGCAACATTATTTAATTGAATGCTGAGACATGTTCGAAAATCTTGCGATATTAATGGCAATAATTTTAACAGAGCTTCCGATTCCCAGTTAATTGTCGGCATCGCGGTTTTATTATTCTCGAATGGTTTAACGCTTCGGGAGATAAATTTACCATTCTTTGTGTGATTACAATAATTGTGCGCATATTTACGAGAAATTTGCGTTCAAATAGAATTTATGAAACGAATCAATGTATTTATTCACCCGGCGTCAGTGTTTTTGGATTTAAATGAAAACATCTTTGTAAATGAAACAGTTTACACGCACACCGATTTAACCTGCCAGAGGCAATCCCTGCTTTAATTATTTCCATTTTGATGTTCTATCAAACAGTGTTAGACTCATCGGTAGACAATAATTTGTTCTCACGGGTTGTTAGTAAAATTGTCTTACCTCTATAGACTTGGCTCGTAAAGACCTCTGCTAATTTGTTTGCTAGAGGAAATATTTGTGAAACCGTTTATACAACTATTCGTAATACAAAAAATAATAGCCTGAGTTCGTAGAATTAATCAAAACATTTGTGTACAAATAAAACAAACACATTTTTATTGTTATGTATGCGATACTGAAAAGTGAATACTGCAATTATTACCAGGAAAAATTTGCTGTATGTTTGGTTTATCTGGTTTTCTGAATCAATATTTTGCGCTTTTGTTTTTATTGAATGATATAACTTCTGTTAATATATTAGACGCACTATGGTCAGATTTGTGTCATCCAAAAGTGTAAAGATTGTTATAGACCTGAAGGAAAGCTTAGAAAAAAGTTTTAATACGTCATTAACCGAGTTATACCCCAAGCTGAGGTTTCTCGCAGTATTCATAAAATTATCAAAGAGAAATTGGATTTCTAGCCATATCGAGTAATGAGGTTTCAGATTATGAAATTCGCAAAAATTATTACAGATTTTTAATACACTTTTATTAGAATTAAGGCTCTTGCTATGCTGACAGAGATAAGAAATGAAGACACGGCTACTTCATTTTACGCAATGTTTCAAATGCGTTCAGAAAATTTTAAATGAAGTTTTGTTATTGATTTTTAATGAGCTTCGGTCAACACTATTTGATGCCCTCTTTAGCACAGCAACATCCTTAACAATCTTTTCTCATTGACATGGCATATGGGTGTGTAAATTCCCAAAATTTTTGATTTTAGAGGATCTATAATTTTCATTATTTTTGTTGAAGTGAGTTTTACAATATATTTTTGTTTATCTAAAATCTAATTTTCATTTGTTAACAAAATTTATAGTACAATTTTTAATAATAATAATAAATTTTCATCTCATAGTAAAACAGAATTTTCCACTATGACAATGAATTGGTAAAATTCTTAAATAAGTTAGTAAGTTTGAAGAGAAATATTTTAGAACATTTCTTCCAAGACCAAGTAAGTAAGTAAACTTTCCTGTGGGTTGAATTTTTTTCAGAGAAACGTGTTTTGTTTAAGTATTACGATTTCTTGTTTAAGTTTTTTTCTAAGTGGTAAGAAAAGTTCACTACACCTACACAACGGTACTGTATTGATCTAACCAATATGTTTTTATTCAAACAGCTGATTTTTATTTCAAGAAATCAACAAAAAGCTTTTAAATTAAGGATTGACGAGCAATCGTTTTGACTAAATAAATATAAGACTTCGTGTAAATAAATATTCCGAAACAATTTATAGTCGAATTTTAATAAAAAAATTAAATTAATTTCAAGTTTTTTTATCCTAGCATTTTTTTCTGGATTTTTAGCCTTCTTATTCAAAAATTCAATTTTTAATATTCCCTCCTCATAAAACGTCGACCTTCTTTCAACCACCCTGGAAAATTACTTAAGAGATTTTTTTGTAGATTTCGACCTCCAGAAATTACTTCCGTCTCAGTTCTTGGAAAACTTCTACCAATTTTGCAGAATCGCCCAATCAATTAATTTTCAAAATTTCAAAAATCCTAGTGTGGACCACACACGCGCTATATTTTTCGAATCAGCACCTCGAAATCTATATTACGAATTTTTTGGGGATTTTTCAACACCTTTTTCAAAAACTCAATTTTTCAAAACCCTTCCCTTATGAGTTCGGTTTTCAGAACTTCCTTTGGCCTCATTTTTTCGAAAATGCCTACCATTTTTCCAGAATATATTTTCAATAAAACGTAGCAATTTTTAGGATGTAAAAAAAAGATTTCAACTTGAATATTTCTAGAATCTTGTTCTGGGGTGATGAACATGCTATATCTTTTAAATCGATACGTTGAGATCTATATCTGTGATTTTTTTGGTGGATTTTTAGGCACCTTTTTCTAAAAGTCCATTTTTTAAAGCAAAAGCATGAGTTTCAAGGGTCATCTAGAGATTTCCCTTATATTTTAACACATTTCTGTTACGTATGATCGTATTATTTACTGATCTTTACGGTAGAAATACTGTTAACACAGTTTTTCTCAATTAAGGTTAAGTGTGCTGTTAGATTCCTCCAGTATCAATGATGCCAATTCCGTACGTTTTATTTTCTCCGAAAAGAAAAAGGCGAGTTTAAAGTATCGTGTTTTCAGACAGAAGTTGTCGCTGTAAAGGCTTTAGAGGTGATTTTAAACGGCTTCCTCCTGCATTTAATAAATGGGAGCAACATTGACTTTCGGTTATCGTACACAACGTGAATATAAAACACAACATCAGTAGCAACTTAAGAAAATGATCGATACGTTTATTCTGGCTAGAATATTTTAGACACTTGTCTTTTTAAACAACTATTCGTAATCCGAAACAAGTATCGTAAAAACTAATCGAACTAATTAAAAACGAAATAAAAGTAAAAGAAACAGTTTATACGCATCCCGATATAGGCTGCCAGAGGCAATTCCCTCTTTAATTATGTCCATTTTGATGTTCTATCAAACTGTAATCTAAACTCATCCATAGACAATAACTCTGTTCTCAAGGGTTATTAAATTTCTCGTATCCCTGCAGACCTGTCACATACTGACCCTTCCTCTAGACCGCCAATCGATAAAATATGATGTATTGTAATATCTGTTCACAAAGCTTGTGCTAATCTTGTTAAACTTCTTGTACAACGCCCGCTATCCATGTTATGACACCTACACGATCCCAAAAACCGAGATCTGCACCGTAATTAATTCGGTGTGAAAGCTCCACACAAAATCGTGTATTGAGCAAAACCCTACAGAGTTTATCAATTTTAAAGATGAAAGCCCCGGTTGACCTTTCTTGGTGTTGTGGATTAGTGAAAAGTATATCAATTACTGGACAAATCCTTTAAGGTTTTCGTTTGTGAGATTTTTCTTCGTATTCGATTTAGGTTTGGCGAAAATCGTTTCACTTATATATATTTTTGGTTCGCAGCGGTGATGGAGAGAGCTCTATAACGGAGGGGCTGAGAACCGCCCTCGCCCGACTGCGACAGAGATCAACTCCCCCCGGTAGCCAGACGTCCCCATTGCACCAACCTTCTAAGGTAAGTCAAAAGTCTTTTAATTTTTTTTTCTCACTTTTATGGGCCGCGTTTTCTCGTTTCTCCATTCGATCAACATGGAAATGTCAAACGGATAATTATTAATTAAAAGGAATGCCACGAGTATTTACTTTGGAAAGGTTTTCTTAATGTAAAAGTAAAATAAAATCGCTGTTTTTTCATCGTGCAAACAAAATTAGCCAAGTGGAGTAACAATGGCCTAAAAGAACGTTATGGATATCTGTCGCTCGATGGTTTAAAATTGCTGAGGAACGTGTTCATTTTGACAGTTTCATAATTAATTGATGTTTTTTTAATGTCACTTTCACAGTGTGGCGACGCAAATAATGATTAATTTCTTGTAGAAAATGCACCACAAAATAATATGTAATGTACAAGTTGCAAGTGAAAATTTTTTTGGAGATTTGTCTCTAAACCTTCCTTCAAGAAATACATGTTAAGTTATGGAATGTCGCTAAGTTAGTGTGAAAAGGCTGCCAATGAAAGTAATACATATTATAATGAAGTTGAACAAATGTATTTAAATTAGTCCGAACCGGAAAAATATTTCTAAGGAAGCGATCAAGATCAATGATATATATGATCAAATATTGGTAGTTATCACAAGTTTCTCAAACACATAACTTTTAGTATTACCAGACAACGTGCTTTCGAAAACTGTGATCAAATTATGTCGTAATTATCAGTGCCCTTTAGGTTAATGTTACATGGCGTAGGCACAAAGTTCAAGCAGATAGCTCCATTAGTTACAATATAGCACAGTATTGGATTTATCGAAGCAGTCGTGACAGGTTTATTTATTTCCCAAGAGTTTGCCTAAATATTTTTGAGTGTTTACACAAATTTGACGCACCAAGTTAAGAAGAAGGAAAAGAGTACACTCGAGGCTCCCTCGGCCATTGGACTTGATTACAATACTTCCTCAGCTTACGTTTGGGAAATAAAAATATATTAAATGTGGCGCTGTTAACAGTTTTATTTTAGAGTTTTAGAGTTCTAGAGCAGCGTAGAAAAATTACATAATAAATGATGCTTTATGTGGCAGGTTTAAATTTTTATCAGAAAAATGTAAAAAATTACAACCATTAGTTTTACCTCTGTGCACCAGTTTCCCCTAAATGTTAAATGACTAGCAATAATTAATTAAAGTGAGTGCAACGTACATTTGCTTTCATGTTAGTCTACAATAGAGTTTTTCAATTCTAAAATAAATACATGTGTGTTTGCTTTAATCAACTAGTAGATTAATACTTGATTATCCATTTCGACCATCACTATTCATAAGATTTTCATGTATTGAACCAAACAACTTTCGCAATATGAAGTTAATTTGGAATCACAGTGGGGTGATAAATTCAAAGAAAATGCCGAATTAGATTTTTCTGGAACGTGCAGCGTCACAATGACTATAATAATAGTGCCAAGTTTTTTTTAATTAAAACAAGAGAAATAAAACTACAGTATTCCGTTCTATCCATGAAGATGCCAACATTGTTGCGATTTTTGAAGTGAAAATTTCCTGAGGCACATTTACATCTAGCCTAATCATTCATCCATGAAAATTTGCTCATTTATACAACAGCAGGATCTACACTGCTCAATCGGGTCTTTCATAAATCAAAGATGATTTTGAGTGAGAGTTTCAGTGTGAATTTCTCATTTTTGTTGCGGTCTGAAGCACATTCGATTTATTTATGAACAATTTTGCTTTTACTTTAGAAATTTTATTCAGAAATATTATACTTTAATAAGATTGCAACTATCCAGTCAGTTTTGAATATTCAATAGTGTGGTATCAAACTTGGATTTTGTAATAAGTATGTATAAATAATTCCTAACTTCAAATGGAATTTTCAGGTGTAAATACACAAACTTTGTTTTGTGTGGACTCTAATATATAATACAATAATTCTTCTATATGTTGACCCTTATGTTTGAAGCTTACATTTTATATAAAAAAATTACTTGATTTTAACATTTATCTCAGAAAAGTACCAAAGTTTTGATAATTTTCGCAAGAGATTGACAATATCTTCTCAAACAATTGCCAAATAAAATTTATGTCTTCTGTTAAAGCTAGAAAACTTCTATGTATATAACTTCATAGTTTTAAAGTTTTTTTTTACAACACTTTATATACAATTTTAAATTATTAATTCAAATTTCGTTAGCGCGCCTTATAAATAATGTCCTTATTACTGAGTACCTAAGGGAATAATAATATTTCAGCAAAACGCTAAAAGGAATCTCCTGTAAAGTTCATCCTCTCTATTTGATGGGTTCAATTAATTAAATTTCTGCCTTTAATAAGGGTCAACTAAAACCAAATGCATTCTTTTGTGTAAACTCTAAAGCTAAATTACTTTGTGTTAGAGCTAAACGAATTTTGTTACACACAATATTGATTTTTCGCTAAAGTGTTGTGATGTAAAGAGGACTATAAAAATAATACCGTGGATACTGCAAAAGTAGCATACTAATTTTTCATGCGTCGCAATTTTTTTTATATATTGCAAAATTATGAAATATAGAGACGGAAGCGAAAAATTTGTATCTACTAAACGTAAACGTTGTTATAAACTAAACGGTCTGTATTTTTCAAATAATTTTTAAACTAGATATGGAAAAATAAGGAATTGCAAAAAAAACAAATTTCAACAACACAAGACACAAACATCAATGACAAAAATTTGACGAAACCATATAGAAAAAAATAGGTAAGACACATCATGTTTAGTCTGCTCGAAGTTGTAAGTTAGGAAATTCTTTGACCTCCTAGGAAAAACCTGCTAGACGAGACGTCGGGAAATTCATTGTCAGTGAAAATAGCTAGAAATCCAAGAAAAAGAAAATATATGAACGTAACATCCAAAAGTGATTATATTTAGTTTTCATATGAAATTACTCAATGGACGAAAGTAATCACAGCTTTAGAATCAGCGTTAAATTTAGTTTGATCCGACTATTCTATTTTTATGAGTTCAATTTTTAATAGCGTTATAAAATCGAACTCTTAACGAGAAATCACTACAATTGTAACCGCATATTATACAACTGTAACAAATTAGTATCGCAGAAATGTTAAATGATATTGAACACTGTACTGTTCCCTCATTTTCTACTTTAATTAATTTATCCCCATTCTTTGTAACTTTTCTCGAAATAAAAGCTCAACGATAGCTGTGATCTCTAACAACTAGGAGTTACAAAACAAAATCCAAAACAAAATTGCTTTGTTTTTCCAGACACCGTTTCCGCGACGACAGAAAATCATATTTTCACGCTATTTTCCGTCGTAAACAATTCAGCCCGACACAAAACCTTCTGACTCTAATTTTATACTTTTACCGCTTTCGGAATTATTTAAATATTATGGTGAGCATCTGCCGGTTTCGCTAGGAAAATGTTGATGAATGAGCCGTTGAGTGGAGATTGCATATTTAAGGAACATAATTTACTTAAAAGTGCTATTTCTCAAATCCATACATAAAATTTACGTCTGTAAATCCCAAAAAGCGTGGATTAACAGCGAATTAATGAGGATTTTTACGGCATGGCTTGACGAAAATGTGAGAGAATAATAAACGGCGTGTTTATTTGTTGTATTGCTGAATAATGCATTGAAGTTTGGGGCAACTAGTTAAGATAAAGTTGCTGCAATGTGGGAGGTAGTTAATTCTGTTATTGGCACCAAGTGTTCAATGAAGTTTCCAGTTGAGGTATGCCCTAAATTAAATTTGGGTAGATGTAGCTGCATTTTGATTAAGAGAGAATTGAAGAATTGGATGATTATTCTGAATCGAAATATCATAGTTGTTTGTCGAGGTGAAGAAACGAGAATTAAAGCGCTCGGAGGCGCGGTATAAAAAATATTCAGGTCGTTTCTCGTTAAAATCATTTTTAATTATGATGTTTAGCGCCGGTTAAATGGGAATTTTGGTGGTTAACACATGCGAAATGAATCAAAATAATTCCAGAAGCAAAATCCCGTCTGTCATTTTCATAAAAGAGAATTTTGTCGAAAAATCGCTGTATGTTGTGTTTGCTCATCTCACGAAATTATGTTTTAGAAAGAAGCTAAAAAGTTTTCTTCACAAAGGCCAGGTATGAAAGAGTTGAAATAAATCGCTTTTAATTAAAATAAAGCAATTATTTGTACCTACGCTTTCAGAGTTTTTCTGATTTTATATTAAAAAAAAAAAAAACTCGCAGCTGTGAATTCGTTAATTCTACAATTGTTTGAATCGGATGACCAATGGGCATTTAACATACGCTCACTATTAACTTTCATCAGCCAGTTTCGATTAGGTCGACGTTTTTGCTGCAATAGCGTCACACTAGTATCGTTTTATTCGTGATTAATTACAATTTCGCTGAACCCTGCAATAGCGTGATGGCTGGCCCTCGTTTAGATTTTTGCCAATAATCCATTTATCGAACGGTGTTAAAGATTCAGGTCAAAACTAGCTATGTCCCGAAAACAATCGCAAAATTGAAATTACTGCAGGATTTCCGACATCAAACCCCGACAGAAATTGTATTTGAACTGGCTTAATGCAACTGGGATCTAGTTCGGTTTAGTGGAGTATATATTTCGTAGAAAAAGTTAATTCAGTTTAAGCAACTCTTCTGGTTGATTTTACCTAGCAAAAAAGGGTGGAATTTCACTTGTTCCTCTCTTAAAACTCTTCCGGCGTTTCCATATGACCTTCCGGCATTTTACCATGGACCCCAGCGAGAAAATAATTTGTTCTTATTTTACTTGAAACTTTCCTGCTGTTTGTTCTGCAAAGTTAAATCGTCTTTTGTGTAAAGAGCGGTTATTTCTATATATTATGAAAATATAAATTGTAACGTGTTGATTCATGTGAGAATAAATGACGTATTTGTTATCCATTTAAATAATTGTGAAATTTTACAATTTGAAAAGTTGCGACAAAAATAAATATGATCTGAAAAAGTCCAATAAAAACATAATTTTGGTGGTCGCTAATTTTGTTCCTAACTAGTTTCCAACTATACATATAACAATAATATAACCAGATTGGCATGTCTATACCCAAAGTCATGTTATTTAACAGAGGGTTGTGTAACCTATAAATTAATTGGTGAACGTTAAGAGCTTTAAAGTTATATAACTGTTTTCTAATTAAAACTGGAAACGAGCTTTTCAGTGCTTTAACAGTATAATAGGTACTGCAAGTTTTGTTATAAACCGTCCAGGATGTTTTTAGACAAAAGTGGGCCTTGAAATTTTTTCTTCACGTTGGATAAACTGATTCATTGACAAAACGGTTTGTCTGTCAGTGCGTGAGACTGACGTTCATTTATTGTTATTTAGAAATCGTGTTATTAAGTTGGCAACATTTTTGACTTCGACAGCACTTCCCTCGCCTATAGAGTACACCTTGTCAAATCTAGCTCTTTCGAAAAATTAAAAGATTTAATTTTGCGAATTTTATTGTTTTTTATGGCAACCATTATAAGCTAAAATCAAAATTTGTATCTAATGTGTGAGTAAAGGTAAAGAACCGTGCTAACCGTTTATTACAAGTGAGTTTTTCTATTGAAGCGTGATTTATAATCAATAAAATAACGAAACAATTTAATCACGTCTGCCGTCTGTAATAATAGAGGTGCGACTGAAGACTGAACTGAAAATCATATATGGTACTCGTAATTTAAGACAAATAGTGATAACACTTATCAACTTGTAGACGTGAGAGTAAAACAGAAACCAAACTAAATGATGTTGTCTACGAATTGCAATAACCGGATTACAATGCTGACGGTCCAGACTTTTTTATTGCTTTGATTTCCGCTAATGGAATAAAACACTACATTTTATATATTTTGATTTTCGATGTTGTAATTCACATTTGGTTAATTATAACTTGTCTAGATCTAGGGGAGGCTTAGCAGATTCACAATTCTACACGCAGGAAGTCAGTTTGGGTTTTTAGATGGCTCTTATTAAAAAACAATGGACGGGACACTTTTTAAAAATTGGGTGGTTAATCAACTTAATCCTGCTTTGGCTAAGTTGAACAAAAAATATTTGGTGGTTACGGACATCGCACGATATTATTCAGTGTACCTGGAGGAGCCACCAACATTTGTAGTAAAAAAATGACTGCTTAATCGTAGTATTGAATTTGAACAAAAATTAACCTAGTACGATAAATTTCATTTTTGCATATACCAAATTAGTTGCCAATTAAATTATTAGATTTACATGGTCTACTTTTGTCTAAAATCATTTTGAACGCTATATAAGTTTACAACCTAATGCAATTATTTCTTTATTTATTTTTTGTAATAAATTAAAATGTATTTGTTTTTCTGAAGGTTCTAGGAATTATTATAGAGGCTACTTTAATAAATTAACGCTTACTCTACTATATTCAAATGTGGGTAAATTATCGTATTACTCGTACCTTTCTTGTTTTTAATTCCAAGAGTAAGCTTCCATTAACTCATTCATTTTGCCACTCCCGTTTCAATACCTGAAAAATTCATAAAACGAGATGAAAATCACCTTTCGCGGAAAACATGAAAGAAGTACAGAAGTTTCATTTACCTTGTTTTAATGTTTGCGAGATAAGAAGTTTGTTTTCATATTGCTCAATCTTATGAAACGTATGCCATTCAGAGAGTAAGAATATTTCTGTTTACAAAGAATTCGCTTACAGATTAAATTCTAGACTAAAGCTCCGACATGAAGAAAATAAATCTTGGCTCTCTCTGATCTCGTTTGAATCTCTATCATTATGTACACATTGATATTTTTTATCAGCATAGAAACGTGTATTTTTCTCCTCCTTTACGACTCGAATAATCAATGTTAAGTGTATTCAAGAAATCCTACGGATAAATTGCGGATCATCGATTTCGTTGGGGTCCAGACGCTGAATCGCTTCTTGTCTTTTTCAGCAGAAATATTCGTCCAGAACGCCAATTTTATTAACATGGGCGCTATTTAAAGTTTAAAGCTGGAATTTTCTTCCAGGCCAGCCCTTTTACGGTAGGTACTTCGTTAATCAAAACAAGTGGGTTGGCTCCGGAGCATGCCAGCGCAATTTCAACGCCACATGTGACAATGTCATAATACGGTAATTGAATCGTGCGCTTTAGCGCTTAGATGAGCTCGTAACAACATTTATTCCCTTAATTAAATATTCCTTGGAGCTAGAGCATGGGTCGCATCACTACTTTTGGCACTTAATGGGGCAAAAAGGTAAACGACGCAAGGAAGAGGCTTTAGATATGAGATTATCGCGAAAACAGGTTCTGCACATAAGGCACCGAATCGTTCGGAAACAAACTGTGAAAAAAGCGTCATTTGCATATACATCGAGATATGCAAAACTGCTGTGTTGAAGGGGGACCACCCTTTAGAATGGTTTAAGCGCTGTGAGAGTGAGAATTTTATTCTAAAATCAAAAAAACGTTATTTGCACCCAATTTTCTTTAACAGCGTTTTTAAATGACACCATCAACTTTTTAGAGGAGATAATAGCGTATTCCGCCACCAGACTTACCTGTCACGGTAATATACGTCTATTATCTTTTTGCATTTTTTTGTTCTCTGACAGGACAATGTGAATGACGCACTATGTTGATAAAAATTACAAATAACTTATTTTTAACCATATTGTGCATTTTACTTAACTTTGATTTATGGGGTGTATTATGATTATGAGTTATTGTTAGCGACGAAATTAATTTACTCAATTCAGGACTTTAATTCTAAGTATGTTGTTTCTTTAGTACAATTTTAGAATTCTGGTTTTTAGAACGCAACACTATCACACGTCACAAACACTTCATCTGACATTCACCAGAAATGCGGCGCAAAATCCAACATTAGAAACAGTTTAATGTTCTTCGTTACGCGATGGAAGTACAAATTTTTTGGAGTATTTTTTGCAAGACGATACGATAAACATCCACAATTTTTAAACAGAGTGCTATCGTTTGTTATCAACGGTTGGACCGTAAAAACTCCCAATTTTTTACTTTGTCGACATAAACATTTTTTTTTGTCAACAAAGTGTCACTTCTAGTTAGACATCTTGGTTTATGAGCATTTACTTGTTGTTTTAATTATTCAAGATGAATGTGTATTAATTAAAAGAAAGTACGTATTTAACAAGGGTGTAGGAGGCGCCAGAAGGCAGCTGTCTACATGAGGTTTTAACGCTTTCCTTTAACGAGTTTCTTTGCATAGAAGGTGGCGTGCTGTTACCTCATATTCTTATAATAAACATCTTTGAATAATAAAACTTTCCCAATTTGATTTTTTTCCAATTTAGAAACTCCGAATGACCTATAAAAACTAATTAAAAAAATTCATATTGCAACTCAAAAATTTTTAAAAATTATTCTAGCCACTGTAAATTTTGTTTCACAAATTAGGCTAGTGTCTTTTATACTATAACGACGGGTTTTGATGTTCAAATTTATTGACTTGTTATTTGATGCAGGTTCCTTCTAGTGTTTCGTCGTGAACATGGGGATTAATTTTGCCTTAAACATACGTGGGTAGCGATATAATATTCAGACATCAAGTGAATTTTAATACAACGGTTAAAGTTATTTCCCTGTTTTTCGATGGTATCATAAATTAATAAAAGAAGTCGTGGTAATAAATAATAAACGAAATAAGTATTTACAACGAGGTAGAGGAATCGGATCGATTTGATTAACAGTTACTCTACATTTTTCACTGAATAAAAATTATACACTGGATATTTTTAATAAAATTATTATTGCATTCATTAATGGCTAAAATGTGAATATAATTGAATTAATAACTATTTATCTAAAATTTGCTATTTGTGCTTTCAATTTGATTCTTACGTCATTAGGTCAGACGATGGGAATTCCTGAATTGATAACTTTGTGTACATGAGACATATTTGATAAAAAGTATGTGGTACGTAGTGTTTAACTGTAGATAAAATGTGACGAAGTGTAATATGTAAATATAGGGTCTAAGATAGACCCTGATTATACGTTTCTATTAACTATTTAGAATAATGGAATAATACATATTTATGTTAGTTCCGTCACGTACTTAACAAGGGTTCACGAAGCACAAAATATGTACCATCGGAAAATTATATAGAAATTCCGGTTACGTTTACACAAAAATTTGAGTGCTACATGCTACATATGTTAAGTGGAACTTTCTATTTATGCATGAATGGAAACAGTTAGATGGCATTTAAATTTTGATATTTTGAAAATTGGTTGGAAATTTCCGTAGAGTTTTTCAGCCCTTTGAGTGTTGAAAACTCTAGAAATCACAAGACAAAGCATCAAAATTGACATTTCAGAAGATTTTGAACGAATTATTTGAATCTACAAACGCCAGAACGTGGAAAATATACTCAATAGTTTCCTTCTCGCAAAACAAAAAATTGGTCGCAAGTTGTTTCGACAGAACTTCCCTTGCCCAGCATTTTCGAGTTGAGTTTTTTCTTTACACAATTTTGTAGCCCCCAGTAGACTAACGTAAAATTTACAAAAGTTAGTGTTAAAAGATTAGGATGATTTGTTCTGGTCTTCAGTGAAATTCCATCGGACGAATGACTACACCCCATGTTTCTCGACTTGTTATAACCTTTAGAGTACGAAAAAATGGGTCTCCCGTTTCCGTCTGTCTGTCTGACTGTCTGTCGGTCTGTTCGCCGTCTATGCCTATCTAAACATCCTACTAACAAGGTGATGACGTCACTCCAAAATTGTACACAGTTTATGTGCTTTAAATTTTATAAAATACCATACTCTTACGTGTAGTTTATGAATCCGTGTTGATTTTTTGCCCGAAACATCTAGATTTTTGAAAAAAAAAAAAAATAAAAAATGTAGGAGTATTATTGAAATGTAATTTAATTTTGAAACTGCAAAATCGAATGCTCTAAAATTTTGCAAACATTTTAAGGTTAGGATAAACATGGAAAATGGTTAATCAAAATTTATCCGTTTACCACCTCCCAAAAAATGGATAACGTCTCTCAAGAACGGACTAAAACATTTTGTTGAAAATGTTCTAAAGTCGGACCTCTTTCTTTATTAAAACGTGGATGTGTTCGCTGCGCTCGCCTTCTAAAAATTTTTTCTTTTAAGTTTGGTTTCAGAAATATTCAAGAAGTGTTTTAGCGAAATTGTTTGGGATCACTTATACTTAATAATAATTTTGTATATTTTCGGAAACTCACTCTTAGAATACGAGTGCAGTGAACACATTCATGTCTTCTCATCGTTATTAATAACAACTGTTTTCGAGATACACTTTCTTGTATGCGATAAATACATTTCTTTTTTTATAATTTAGCTTCTCAGGGAGAACAGTGAATTATTTTTAATAACACCTACACATGCTCGCTGCGCCCGTATTCTAAGCGATTTCCTTTTGCAATGCAATGAAAGAAGCGTCAATTTTTAAAATAAAAGTGTTATTTTCTCCAAAATTTGGATACCGTAAAATTGGTGGTTTTACTAAAGCATTTTTCAATGTTTCAAAAGAGTTTTGACATTCCGCGTCCTAACTAAATTGCACATTTTTTTGTTTAATCTGTTTTTTTGGCGTTGCTGTGTTAGCAAAATTTTGTATAGTTTCATTTTTGTAAAGTTTTTTCTCTTCTTTGTTTCTTATTAAGTATTATGTTGTTGAAAGTAAACTCTGTACATTAAGAAAAAAAAGCCAATGATTAAAACCCATCCACCCGTCCCTGTCTCATTTTCATTTATTGTAATTTTGAAGGACGGAGGTTAATTACAAAATCCACATTTATTTAGAAAAATTTACCATTTTCAAGATGTTTTATATTTCTTGTTGCGAAATATGACTTATACATATGTTAAGGAAAACATTGATTGAAAGTTGTTTCGACAGAACTTTCCTCGCGCCTAAAGTACAATGAAACATATCCAGCATTTTCGAGTTTTTACTTTACACAATTTTGTGATGACGTCATCAACATTTTTGCAAGGACACGTATATTAACTTGGATTGGTGCAATGTAATACTAAAAATAACAGTATTGTATTTCCAAAATTTTCTGGGAAAATGGAGTGATAAGTTCCTGATTTAATCAATAAAATAAACTGACTCATTCATTAATTTTTTTCAGTCACCCTTTTTAAGCAAATCGAAAAATATGAATGGAATGATGAATCACAAGTATAGACTCATTATATTTTGGACATTTTCGATAGAATTTATTCAGTAAAATTTTGAACGTCATCGATTTTTTGGAGGGAATAAGCAACTATATTTTGATTAAAAATTTATCATGCCTATCACCAACTTTAAAACATCTGCAAGATTTCAAAGCATTTGGTTTTGCAGATTCAAAATTAAATTGCAAAATATTGTTTTACAATTTTGACTTTTTTACAAAAATCTGGACGTTTTGGGTAAAAACTCAACACGGCATCGTATACTGCATGTGTAGGAGTGTAGGACTATGTTATTTTAAACCCATTTACTATGTGCAATTTTGAAGTGACGTCACATTGTTGGTGGTGATGACTAGGCAAATTTTGGTTAGCGTTTTACCATGCACATAATATTTTTAATATAAATACAAAATTTACCAACAATCGGCCTAGTACTTTCGGATATTATCTGTCTAATAAAAATCAGGAACAGCAGACAGACGGACAGGCGGACAGACGGACATACAGACAGACAGACGGA